AGAAACGGGTCCTAGATCCTATAGACCCCAAGGCCCTCCCCCCAGACCGCTTCCCCCGGTCCCAGACCGCCCGAGGGGCCGAAAACGGTGACAGCAGGACCTGTTGGCTCCATGGCGACCTCTGGCCTGGTCAGCGGGGCACATGCCGCAGCGACCCAGGGCCCAGATGGACCAGAGGATCCGTGGATCGGACGCGTTGGCGCCAGACCCATGGATCGGGCAGGGTGGCCCCGGAAACAGGGCGCCAGCCCCGCCTGATTTGGCAACGGAGCGCGCCGATCGAGCATGCAAACGGGACCCGTCTCTCATCCACGTGCATTACAGTCGGGGCGCTGACCTATGGAACCCTGAACAAGGAACGAAGCCCCTTTTTCCCCATAGGTTCAACTTCGATCTGCCGTGGAAGACCTCCGGAAAACCGAAGGCAAACTGTATCACAATCAAGGAACACCGAGCCCCTCCCAAACGAAAAGGGCTCCTTCTTCAGCGCCACGCCTGTAATCCATGCCTGCGCCTGCTGCTCGAGGAGGTTCGGGAGCGGCCAAGAGGGGGGTGTCCAAGAGGGGGGGGTGCAAATCATGACCGGCGGCATGTGCGCGGCCCAGCGGGGGGGCCAGGGACGTAATGAAACAAGAAGAGGCGCCATGAAATCTGGGGAAATAGCTTGGCCCCCGCCATGACATCCACCCCCCCCTAGTCATCACCCCCCCCTTTTCCGCCCCCGACGCCTGCTCGAGGCGGTGGCCTGGCCAGGGCCGGTGCCGGGCCGAAGGAGGCCCGCTGCCGTCCCCCAGGGGCACCGCTGCGCGGCGAGCAGGCGCAGCGCCCAGGACCACTGCTCGCCCCTCCTGGCAAGAGGGAGACGTGGCCACGCAGGGACGGGCCCCTTCTGGCCATCGCTCGGACGTCCATTCCCTGTGCTTTTTTCCGTTTCGTGCGTGGTTATTTTCCCCAAATGATCAAGGATGCTCCTCGGTGGTACTCGCCGAGGGAAAAATGCACACGTCCGAGCGATGCCAAGACTTTGGGCCGGTTCCTTGGGGCCTCTGCGGGGACCAAAAGGCACCGATATCGCTACTCCCCGGACCTCTCCCGGAGTGCGTTCTTCCCAAGAGCTCGAGGCGAAGCCAGCGCTGGCGACGAGGGCCCCCCAGGAGGCCCCCCCAAGGGGGAGAACGAGGGAAAGGTAGCGTTATGGGTACCTCTTCCTCCTCCAAGCCTCGGGAGGGCCCGGAGACCTGGGGTGACGGTGGAGCGGGGGCCCCCTGGGCCCCCGGAGGCCGCTGGAGCCGAAGAAGAAGCACGTTGCTCTTCTTCGACTCGAGGGGCCTCGGGGGGCCTCGGCCGACTGCTCCGGCCCACTGGTCCCTGTGATCTTTGGTCAGGCATGTGCCCTCCTGCACGCCGCAGCCGCCGCGTTGCACGCCGCGGCGCTCAGCTCAATGCCCCTGGAGCGCATCCTGAGGAGCAGCTCGACCGCGCGCTCCCACTGGCGGCCCTTGTCGCAGGCCGCGATCGCCGCGCCGCAGACGACCACGTTGGCCTCCACGCTGAGCCTCGCGGCCCCGCCGAGCAGGGAGAGTGCCTGCTGCCACTCCTGCTCCCTCTCGCATGCGCTCACGGCCGCCCCGAACGTGGCAACGTCTGGCATCACCGCGCGGCTCCGGGCCTCACTGGCCACAGCCAGCGCGCGACGCCAGGCGCCGGCCCTGTCGCAGGCGCTGATCACGGTGTTGAAGGTCGTGGCGTCCGGCTCCACCGCCGCGGTGCGCATGTCGCCCACCAGCCGCCACGCGAGGCCCCAGCGCCCCGCCTCGCCGCACGCGCTGGCCGCGGCATTGACGGGGAGCAGACGAGGCGCACCCACTCCCCCCCGCCCCCGCCGACCGCCCCGCTGCCAGGAAGGAGGGCGGGGGGCGCGGACAGCCTGTGCGAGCACACTTGCAAGCACACGCCTGGGACGGAAAACGCACGGGGTCCAAGTGAAGGGGTGGCGGTCGTGGGCCTCGAGCTTGGACTGCCAGCTCATCGGCCCAAGTGGGGCGGAGGGACGTATGGGGGAGGGGGCCATCGGAAGCGTATGCCAGGACACACAGGGGGGGGCGAGGGGGCACGGGAAGGAGGTGGAAGGAACAAGGGGGAGGCTGGAGAGGGCGGGAGGACTGGGCAGATGCATCCTCGCCGCTCTCCAATTGAACGCCGCGGCGTCGAGCTCCACGCCCGCACTGGCTGCGGCCCCCAGCAGCCCGAGCGCTGTCTGCCACCAGCTCCGCAGCGCGCACGCGCGGGCGTAGGTGCTGCAGGCGACCCGGTCGAGGCTCGCGCCTCCCCTCAGCGCCTCCCGCAGCAACCCCCGCAGCGGCTCCAGGGCTCGCGCCCGCTGGCACGCGCCGACGACGGTGCTGTGCGTGATGGCGTTTGGCCGCAGAGCCTCCTCGCGCATGCGCGAGAGCAGCGCAACGGCGTGCTGCCATCCGCGCCCTCGCCCGCAGGCGTTGGCGGCGGCGTTGTAGGCGATCACGCCCGGCCACAGTGCCTCGCGGGCCATCCCGCCCAGGAGCTCCAGAGCGCGCGGCCACTGCGAGGACGCGGCACACTGGGCGAGGAGAGCGGTGTGTCGGCGGAGGTCCTCCGCGCATGGCTGCTGGCCACGGCTCGACGCGGCCGCCTCGGCCGCGTCCATGGCCCCGCGCGCCTGCGGCTGGCGCCGGTTGCGGCCCGAGGCTCGCAGCCCGAGCCACGGTGCGAAGAGAGCACGTACAGTGCGGGCGCGGCCGCAAGACACCCTCGCAAGAAACCCAACCCTGAGAACCCGTGCGGGAGGTGCACCCGACGGGAAACCTGGAGCACCCCGATCGCAGCAGCTCCTTCAACGGCGGCGGGAAGTCACCGCGCAGCGCGAGGAGCGAAGAAACCCACGGTACCCTGACGAAAAGCAGATGGTTTCTTGATGCGCACCCCCACTGTACTCCTCCTTCCCTTCCTCTCCCCGCTGCTCATCCCTTCACTTCTCCTGAACCGGCCCTCCCTGTCGCACCACCGGACGTGTCCGCAAGCCGGGCGGGGCGTTCCGCCGGAGACTCGCTCGCGCCAAGCATGATCCCGGGGCTGCAACTTTGCCACAGCTTCAGACTTGGAGCCTGGGCGGTTTTCAACATGTGGCTCTGGCCTTAGCGCCGCGCACTTTCGTTTTCAAGACTTGCAGCAGCTTCAGAGATTCCAAAAACTGGCTCTCCCTGTCCCTCGCACAATCCGGATACCCTGACGAAAAGCATATGGTTTCTTGATGCGCGCCCCCACTGCACACCCAACGACAATCTTCGGCAGCTCTTGACGCACTTGCCATCGGGGTCCGTCACCGTGCGCACGGCTCTCCACTCCCTCCCGCGACACGCGCCGCGCCGCCCAGAGCTCTCCCAGGGCGGCACCCCTTGCGTTGTGGCCGAAACTGCCTAATTTCAAGGGGCCCAAGGACACACAAATAAATACACACAAATAAACTGTTGTCCCATATTTTTCCATATTTTCAGGGTTTTTGTCTTCCCGCCCAATACCAATATTTTCCCAGATTTTCCTAGGAACCGACGATTAAGTGTGTCTGTGTGGTTTTTCCCCTCCTGATAATTTGGCCCGAGAACGGACCGAATCAGCCGTCGAAACGGTGAGGTGGCGAAGTCCGAATTGGGCACACGCTGCACAGCTTCGAGCCACCGCGGAAACGGTGAGGTGCCCCTCGACTGAAGGACCAAGAGGGTTCCAAGGTGCTCCCGCTGGGAACCGCGCTGCAGTTCCTCACGGGCGACACATGCTGTGGTGCAGCCTGCGTGTGCCCCATGCCCCTGTGACGTCTTGGGTCTTGGCCGTTGGCGGGCGACTGCGCGCAGAAAACAGAGGCTCCCCCAGCTGCGGGCGCCCGACCAGTGGCAACGCAGAGCACTGTTGGACTCCTCCTCGACCTTATCCTCCTCCTCCTCCTCCTCTTCAAACCTCCTTCTCTTCTTTCTCTTCCTCCTCGTCCTCCAGCGCTGACCCTCGTCATCAGACTTGAAATCCTTCAGGACCTCGACCTTGTCTCCCTTCTTGAGGGTCACCGCAGGCTTTACTTTCACCTGCGGACGCCCGGGGCAAGGCACGTGTCCCCCCTCCCAACCTTCTCCCCCTACCATCCGCCCTCAGACCAAGCCCCTCGAGCCGCCCTTGGTTCCTCCCTCCTCACTCATTCCCCCCTCCTCCTCCTCTTCCTCCTCCTCCTCCTCCTCCTCCTCCTCCTCCTCCTCCTCCTCCCCTTCCTCCTCCTCCTTCTTCTCTCGTTCATCCTTCTTGCCTCCACCTCCCTCCTTCCCACCTCTTCCCGGCTGCCTTTCGGACGCCCTGAGAGGAGGAGGAATAATGAGAGGAAGGGCATGATGCAGTAGGAGCAGCAGCAGAAGTAAAAGGTAAGGGAGGGGAGGACCTGGAAGGTGGAGGAGGTAGGAAAGGAGGAGTTGGAGGAAGCAGAACAGCAGAGACGAGGATGAAGGAGGATAGGGAAGAGGAAGGAGGAACGGAGGAGGAAGGGCCTCTCCTACTCTGTGGCGCAATAAACAAAAAGAAACTGGTGACGCTCGTATTCCGTAAATCGCGGATAACTGGTGATATCGCGGCCAGCCGGGCCCCCCCTGGGGAAGGACTTCTCCTCGTCCTCCTCCTTCCCCTCCTCCTTCTCCTCCTATTCCTGCTCCTCCTCTGTCTCCCGCGGTCGGTGGATGGGGTCCGAACAAACTGACAGCAACTGCGACGGCTGTGATGATGACGATGCTGATAATGCTGACGATGACTACAGATCTGCCTATCGATCCCACTATGGGTCTCACTATCGATCTCACCACCGCACACCGACGGGACACCGACGGGACACCGACGGAACACCGACGGAACACCGACGGGACACCGACGGGACACCATCGGGATCGGGACACCAATCGATCTTACTTTCGATTTCCCTGTCGATCTCACTCGCTCGACCTCGCTATCGATCCCACTCGATTTATATGCCTATCGATTCCACTATCGCTCTCACTACAACTGTCACCATCGATCTCGCTATCGGTCTCACTATCGATCCCACCATCGATCCCACCACGGGACAACGCAGAACACCGACGGGACACCGACGGGACACCCGCGGGACACCGACGGGACACCCAGGGAACCAATCGATTTCACTTGCGGTCTCAGTATCGATCTCACCATCGGCCTTAATATCGATCTCGCTCGCTAGATCTCACTATCGATCTCATTATCGGCCTCATTATCGATCTCAGCATCGATCTCACCACGGGACACCGACGGGACACCGACGGGACACCGACGGGACACCGACGGGACACCAACGGGACACCGACGGAACACCGACGGGACACCACGGCGGGACAAACCGGCCACCGCCCGCCCACCGCGGGGGAGAGGCGGACAGCGACGGAACACCACGGCGGGACAACCCAGCCGCCGCCCGCCCGCCAGGGAGGAAGGAAGGCCAGCCAACGGCTCTTGACCTGCCCTAGCAACAGCGGAATCATTCCTCTCGCCCGCCCACGCAGCTTCGCCTCGCCCGCACGCACGACACGAACCCGAACCCGAAACCGATTTCCTGGTGGGGGGCTCTCCGCTCCACTTCGATGTCGCCCCCCAAAACCTCTGATGCGGTATACTTCCATACGCCCAGCCTTCACAATCCTATCACACAGCGAAATTATGTGCACATCCATCCGCCTTACCCGACCATCCGATGCCAAGAAAGAAGTCGGTGCCCATCTATCCGACCCAACCTTCGCAATCCCATGACAAAGAGCACGATCTGGGCATTGGACAAGGAAACCTCGGAGAAGGAATCCAGGGCCTGGAAGCTGGTGGAACTCCGATCGTGGATCGGCGATGGATATCACCGCCGCCCTCATCAGATAAGGAATCGTCCAAGGTCTCCAGCCTCCCTGGAACACTCCTCAACGAACGCCCCGACCGCATTGGGGTCTCCCTTTGGCCTCGCGCCCATTCGAACACAAAACCACGATCTGCACGCACATGACCCTTCCTCGACCTCTACGACCCCGCGCTCCATATCGTGCAACAGCTAACACGGATGGCGTGCGGCTCCACTTTCGAAACGGGGCTCTCGCCTGAGACTTCCTCGAAGCATACGTCCACGACTCTGACATCCTGCGACACGCAGACGGATCTCTTCTCAAAATCAGGATATCCCTGAGCCTCCTTGACGGGCTCTCGCGTGAGACTTCCGCGGAGCATGCGTCCACAACTTTGACATCTTGCGACGCTGAGACGGGTGGAGGGCACGTGCTTCTCAAGATGGGGCTACCATGGGCGTCCTGCAGGCGAAGGGAAGATCCTTTGCAACACGCGCCCTCGCCTGACCGGCGGACCGACCAGCCGGTCGTCATTCAAGGGGTGGCGCCCGCAGTGGGAGGGGGGGGGGCTTGGCACAGGAGGGTGCTTTGCAGCATCGGTAGATGCATCCCGGGTGTACTGTGGTACTCGTCGTCGTCGTCCTCCTCCTCCTCCTCCTCCTCCTCCTCCTCCTCCTCCTCCTCCTCCTCTCCCCCTGCTCGCCCCTCCCCTCTCTCCCCATTCATTGTTTTCCCCCCCCTCCTCCCGCCTCCTCCACCGCCTCCTTCCTCTTGGGCTCGCTCGCACGGCGCCTTGCCGTCTACCGTGGCTCCGTCGATCAGCCACTTGCCCTTGCCCTCTTGCCTGCAAGTAACGGGGGGAGGAGGACGAGAACCACGATCAGAAGGACAAGGTGGAGACGCAGGAGGACTTCAACGACGAAGACGTAGGAGGGAGGATGCGGGATGGACGAGGAGAATGGGGAGGGAGAAAGAGGAGGCGGGATGATGATAAGGAGGATGGAGGAGGAAGAGGCGGACAAGGATGAAGGAGGAAGAGAAGGGGGAGGAGGAGGAGGAGGAGGAGGAGGAGGAGGAAGCGTGGGAGGAGGAGGAGGCGAGATTAGGAGTATGGAGGAGGCGGAGGATGGGCAGGAGTGGGATGAGCAGGAGGACGATAAGCATGATAAGGACGAGGTAGAGGCCCCCCATCTTCTCCTCATCATCCTTCCACTGGAGGGGTAATGAGAAGGGATGGGGGGGGCCTCGGGATCGCAGCGAAAGTAGAATGTGCAGTCGGTGGGGCGAATCCCTCATGTTCCAAAGCCAAGTGGAGGCGCACTTCTGACCACGTCCACCAAACCACAGTGGAGCGATCGAGAGCTGGATTCGCATGTTCCCTCATCCTACATGCTCCTACTCTTCTCTTCCTGCTGATGCTCATCCTTCTACCCCTCCCTCCATCTAAATCCCTTCTTCCTTCTTCTGCTCCTCTTTCCCGGCCCCCACGCTATCCAAACATCATTTCGAATATTACTCCTATACTCTCAGGGCGTGCTGAATAAGAGCATGCATGTGAAGGAGCTTGTATAAACAGACCACACACTGTTGCTAGCCACATCCGGCGAATCAGCCGGTGCCCACATGCATGCCGTACAACGTATGGGGCAACAGTGCGGTTTACAACATAATTGGCGCAAACTAGAAGCCTTGGCTGTAGGAGCCGACGTATGCATTCTCCAGCCGGACGGCACCCCAATCCCACCGAAGGGAAGCATCGGAGGTGAGGGGGTGAGATCGAAGTGGAACGGAGAGCCCCCCTACCGGGAAATCGGTTTTGGTTTCGTGTTCGTGCGTGCCGTGCGTGCGGGCGAGGCGAAGCTGCGTAGGCGGGCGAGAAATGCCCCGCCTCTGGCTGAGGCGCGGCCGGACCAAAAGACTCCCTGCCGGCAACCGGTGCCGCGTGGTGTCCCGCCGGTGTCCCGCCGGTGTCCCGTCGGTGTCCCAATGATGATGATGATGATGATGATGATGATGATGATGATGATGATCATGATCATGATGATGATGATGATGACGATGTTGTTGATGATGATGATGATGTCGTTGATGGCCACGGTGGTGATGATGATGGTGTCCCGAAGATGATGATGCTGATGTTGCTGATGATGATGATGATGATGGTGTAGCCCTGATGATGACGATGATGTTGATGATCCCGATGATGTTGATGGTGATGAGATGATGAGATGACGATGAAGATGATGAAAATGATGATGGTGTCCCGATGATGATGAGGTTGCTGATGATGCTGTTGATGATGATGGTGACCATGGTGGCTCGATGATGATGATGATGTTGATGATGATGATGACGATGGTGGTGTCCCGATGATGATGATGATGCTGAAAATGAGGATGGTGATGAGGTGATGATGATGATGAATTTGATAGTACTGGCCCGATGATGATGATGGTGACGATGAGGGTGGTGTCCCGATGATGATGAAGATGGTGGTGATGATGCTGGTGACGATGATGATGATGATGGTGTCCCGATGATGATGGTGATGATGATGATGTTGCTGATGATGGTGAAGAAGGTGTCCCGATGATGATGATGTTGATGATGATGATGTTGATGATGTTGCTCATGATGGTGATGATGGACTGATGGTGATGACGATGATGGTGGTGTTCCGATGATGATGCTCATCACGGTAGTGTCCCGATGATGATGATGTTGATGATGAAGATGGTTACGATGATGATGTCCCGATGATGGTGATGATGGTGATGATGATGATGATGGCCATGGTGGTGAGGCTGATGAAGCCCCAATGATGATGATGATGCCGGTGGTGCTGATGATGATGGTGTCCCGATGATGATGATGATGTTGATGATCCGGATGATGTTGATGATGATGGTATGATGGGATGATGATGATGGGGATAATGATGATGGTGTCCCGATGATGATGATGATGACGATAAGGTTGATGACGATGCTGTTGGTGATGATGGTGGTGATGATGGTGTCCCGATGATGATGATGATGATGATGTTGTTCGGTGATGATGATGTGTATGATGAAGATGATGATGATGAGGTGATGGTGATTTTGATGATGGGTGCCCGATGATGATGATGATGATGATGATGATGATGATGATGGTGGTGCTGATGTTGTTGATGATGATGGTGTCCCGATGATGATGATGATGATGGTGATGATGATGGTAACGATGATGACGGTGCCCCGATGATGATGATGTTGTTGATGATGGTGTTGCTGATGATGATCATGATGATGGTGCCCCGATGATGATGATGGTGTTGGCAGTGTTGTTCATGATGATGATCTGATGGTCGTGTCCCGATGATGATGCTGATGATGACGATGTGTCCCGATGATGACAATGTTGATGATGATGATGATGACGACGGTGGCGTCCCGATGATGATTATGATGATGGTGATGATGATGGTGTTGATGATGATGGTGACAAAGTGATGATGGTGATGGTGTCCCAATGATGATGATGATGGTGATGATGAAGATGATGATGAAGATGTTGACGTTGATGACGATGATACTAATGATGACGTTGCTTATGATATCAATTGTGATATCGATCGTGATACCGGTAGTGAGACCGATGTGATATAGATTGTGAGATCGGTAGTGAGATCGATAATGAAATCGATTGTAGGACCGATAGTCATATCGATTGTGAGATCGATCGAATAAAATAGATCGAGTGATATCGATTGTGAGATCGATCGAGAGAGATCGATCGAGCGAGACTGATAATGAGATCGATAGTGAGATCGATAGTGAGACCGATCGAGTGAGACGTTGGTTCCCCCCCCGAACCTCCTTATCACCCAAAGGGTGGTCGTATAGGTAGTTTGTTCAGGTAGTTTGATTAGCGACGATGGCAAAATAGGTTCAGAGTTGTCGCGCCGCCTGGGAGCTGCAGGCGCAGATTTTGACAAATTGGCCAGGGTACGGAGCCATTCGACTCTCACGCAGCGGAAGAAGATTCAGATTTGTGAGTCTTGCGTTTTAAGTAAGCTGTCGTACTGTTTGCACTCCTCGCATCTTGACAAGCGCGAAATGTGTCGTCTGGACGCATTACAGGCGCGATGCCTGCGCACGTTGTTGCGCATGCCCCACTCGCTCATCAGCAGAATCTCGAACGAAACCGTGCTTCAACGGGCCGGCGCCCGCCCGCTTAGCAGCGCGTTCCTCCGTAGACAGCTTCTTTTTCTTGGTCATATCGCCAGAAAGCCAGATGACGACGCTGTGCGTTGCGCAGTGTCTCAGCCCTTTTCCTCTCTCCTCCTCCCCCCTCCCACCAAGAGAAAGAGAGGGCGACCACGCGCAACATGGCCCCAGGAAGTTTATATACAGGCACGCCTGCGAAGCAGCTGGGGGTGTGGAGGCCCTTTCCGACGCTGTGGCAGGACACCATTTCTTCGGCCACGGCGTGGCGTGTCGTAGTCAGCAAGTATTGCAATACCACGTGATAGTGGCTATGTGCCCATGTGCGTTTCGTACTCAGCATCTTGCTTGCTTGTTTGCTCCTATACTTTCCGTTCCACTCTCCCCCTCATCCCTCCCGCGTCCCTCCTCCCTCCCTCCACCAACCCTTCTCCGACCCTGCCTCCTGCCTCAATCCTCCCCCGCCTCCCCCAGCTCCCTCTCTCCTTCGCTCCTTCCTATTATCATCCTCCCCCCTCCTCCTCATCATAACATTGCACTTCTCCTCCTCCGCCTCCTCCTTCTCCTCCTTCTCCTCCTCCTCTTCCATCCTCCATCCTGCTCCCTCCTGATCATCCCGCTTTGCTCGTCCTTTGCATCCCTTCCTAGTTCCTCCTCGGGCCTTCCTCATCCCTGCTCCTCTCCCCCTCCATGCCTCCTCTTTCCGCTCCTCCTCCTTATTCTCAACCTCTCCTGCTCTCTCGTCTTTCTCCTCGTCCTCCTCGTCCTCCTCCTTGGCCACCTCCGCGTACTCCTCCCGCTCATCATCATCATCATCATCATCATCATCATCATCATCATCATCATCATCATCATCAGCATCATCATCATCAGCAGCAGCATCATCATCATCATCATCAGCATCGTTATCATCATCATCATCGTCATCATCAACAGCAGCATCATCATCAGCATCATCATCATCGTCATCACCACCATACTCATACTCGTAAGCATAATCAGCATGATGGTCATCATCATCAGCATCAGCATCATCATCATCATTATCATCATAAACATCATCATCATGATTAGCGTCATCATACTCATCAGAAGCAGCAGCATCGTCATCATCATCAGCATCATCGTCAGCGTCATCATCAGCAGCATCATCATAATCAGTATCGGTATCATCATACTCATCAAAAGCAACACAATCATCATCAGCAGCATCAACATAATCATCATTATCGTCGTCGTCATCATACTCATCATCATCCTCCTCATCATCAGCAGCATCGTTATCATCGTCACAATCGTCATCATCGTCACAATCGTCAGCATCGTCATCGTCATCATCACCATCATCACAATGATCATGATCATCATCAACATCATAATCATCATGAGTAGCATCAGCATCACCATCAGCATCAGTATCATCATTAATATCATCCTCGTCATCATCTACATTATCAGCATCATGGTCATCATCACCAGCATCAGCATCAGCATCAGCATCAGCATCAGCAGCAGCATCATTATCATCATCATCATCATCATCATCATCATCATCATCATCATCATCATCATCGCCATCGTCATCATCATCTCACTCCCTGCCCATCCGTCGCCCTCTTATTCTCCTTCTTCTCCTCCTCCTACTCTTCTCTTCTCCGTTATCTCTCCTCCTGATCGCCCCTCTGTCCTCGTCCATTGCTCCTCGTCCTCCTCCCTCCTCTTCCCCGTCTCCTCATCCCTGCTCCTCTCCCCCTCCATGCCTCCTTCTCCTCCTTCTCCTCCTCCTTCATATTCCCCTATCCCATCCTTCCTCCGTCCTCCGTCCTCCCTCCTCCTCCTCCTCCTCCTCCTCTTTTCTGAGTTGCGCCCTCCTGCCACCCTCGCTGTTCTGATTCGCCCTCCCTCATCCCTCAACCCTCACTCCCTCGCCTTCATTCGCACCCCTCCTTCATCCCACCTCCAGCTCCGTGGCTCCCAGATCCGCCGATAACCCCGACTCTCCCCCTAAAAAAAACCCCAAGGTCCCCCAGACCATTCCATTCGCATCGCCGCTTCCTTCCTTCCGTCTCCTCCTCCTCCTACCCCTCCCCCCGCTCCTGTCTCCTTCGTCCTTCCTCCTCGCTGCGCCGCCCTCCATCCTTGTGTGTTCCCCTGCCTCCTCGCTCGTCGTCGTCGTTGTCGTCGTCGTCGTCGTCGTTGTCCCCCTCCTCCCACCTGCCCTCGCAACTCCCTTCCCCCTCCTCCCTCCTCGCTCCTTGCTCGCCGCCGTCCCCTTCCCCCTGCCTCCCCGCCCCTCCTTCTCGGCGACGCCGACCTCACGCCTTGCGCGGCGCCGCCGGCCGACCCGAGAGCGGGACGCCCGCCTCGCGAATCCTGTGCACTCCCCGGTGACCTCGGCTCCGGCGGCAGGGAGGGCGTTGGCGGCCGGCGGCGCGGCCGGCGGAGGGGTCGGCGACGGCGGCGGCGGCAGGGAGGGCGAGGACGACGAGGACGGGGACGACGAGGACGACGGCGACAGCATGAAGGACGGTGCCCACGACGGACTTGGACGACGGCGGGGACGACGACGAGGATGCGGAGGAGGAGGAGGATGAGGATGAGAACCAGTGTAAACCCAAATTCTCTCTTCATAAGCCCCTACAAGATTCGCTTTTCACTCAAAATTATCTCTTCATAAGCCCCTACAAAGATTCGTTTTCACTGAAGGAAATGCCACGTTGGAAGACAACTGTTTGAAAATCCGGAACTGTGCCAAAACACCATTCCTGGGACTTCAACGCCGCGAATCACCGTTACTGGCGCGTCTTGACGACCCTGGATCGTGCCAACGCACCGCTCCTGGGACGACAACAGCGCGAATCAACGTGACTGTTGCGCCATGACTGTCCAACATCTTGCCACTAACCATGCGAATTCTCGAAACTGCTGCACACTCTTACGACGAATGTGCAAGGCCCTAAGGCGCCCGCCATCTGTGAAACTCTCGTACTTGGTTGAATCCAATGTGCGCTGCGCTAATACAATAACCACATGTTTAAAGCTCGTCGCCCTTCTTCAGTGAAGCTCTTGCAATGATGTTCATCGAATGCGCGCGGCGCAAACATGGTCCACATTTTGAAAGCGAGCCGCCCTCCATCCGTGAAGCTATTACAATTTTACGCTTGAAACTCATGAATGGTGAAAAAAGCCTCAAACGAAACGCCCGGCCCGCCCGTTCGATCGGCCTCGGGGTGCAACATATAGGAGTTACTTCTGTCAGTGCAGTTGTTTTCAGCAAAGACCGCGCGGCAGTCCAACTGCGGGTGCGTCCCAGGGCCCTAGGACTAGGGCCAAAACAGCGGCGGGCAGCGTGCATGCCACAAAACAAGACAAGCGTGTACAACATACACACATGGTGGCACGGGCGGCAGAGGGGCAGGGGAGTGCACTCTTCACACTGGGTGAGTACAATGCTGCCCCGATGCCGCTCCCTCTGGAAAGGCAACGCTGCACGCAATTATAATGTATACCAGCCCACGGGCCGAAACACCTCAAGCAGATGCGGCCTGAGGCTCGAAATATAAATATGAATGTCTAGATTCACCAATCCAGACTGTCAACTCAAAAGATATGCATGAGACACCTCAAGCAAGGTGCGGCCTGAGGCTCAAAATATAAATACAAGAATATGAATATCTGGATACACTACTCCAGACGATCAACTCAAAAGATATGCGTACATCACCGTAGCCCTCACTAGGTCCATCAGCAGCTGCAATCAGGACCTCACGGGCTCGCAGGCCCTGGAACGGCGACCCGACGCTGGGCCTTCCGCTCCTTGGCTCGCTCACGCTGTCCGCGGCGCAGCCGCAGACGGTGTGCCTCCTCATCCTCTTGCTCAGCAGTAGGCACCATGCTGAACAGGCCGTGGCGGAGGAACTGCGATAGTACCTCGTTAGGCTGCACGGCTTTTGTCAACACATCCGCTAGCATGTGGCTGTTAGGCAGCCACTTGAACTTGATGGCCTCCTGCTCTATCAAATCCTTGGCCACCAGCAAGTCAATGAGGGTCTGCCGAGAGTCCGGCATCGACCCGATCTTGGACGTGTGATCGTAGAGCGACTTCGCATCCGTCACGAGCGCCCCTGGAACCTTCAGCGCCAGCCTCCAGTCCCCTTGCAAGGGCGGCTCCCCGTACAAGATTGCCTCAATCAGCATCCTGAGGTAAAGCTGCCGATCCAAAGCCACGGACATAGCCGCAAATTCTGTGGCCATCGTAGATCCAACAACTCGTGTAATAGTACTGCTCTGAAACTCCACTAGACAACATACGGTTAACTCCTTCAAAACTCGGGTGTCCGTAATCATACTCATGAACCCCATCTGGCTCTTACAGCCGGGTTCCTTCGCAAACGAGGCGTCCATAAGCGCGAGCACCTGCAAGTGCTCGATGTCCACACGGCGGATCCGGAGAGTCGCAAGACCTCTCTTGTCGTAGTCCTGAAGCCGGTCGATGATGTCATTGAGCACTCGCAGGTGCAGCAACCTCCGACCTTTCGGATCCTTCTGCGCGAGCGCCGAGACACTATACGCGAGTTGTGGCACCACGCGTGCGACAGGCCACCGCACCTTCTGGAGCAAGCTCCGGTAGTCGTGGTGCTCCTCGGGAGTCATCTCCCGCCCCTCGTTGTCACCCCTTGCAAGGGGGTGCTTCGTCAGCTTGCCGATGTACTCGTGCATGCTGATCTCGATGTGATCGGGGTGGCGCCACCACTCCTCACCGAGATAGGCGACTGCCTCCATGTCACTTCCCTTCTTCCAGTGCTTGATGTTGAAACGACTGTTGATGTTCGCCTTCGCCTCCTGGTACTGGGGATCGCGTGGGTCTCCAAAACGCATGCCGTCATCGACGTGCAAGGTCAACATAGCGATCAACTTGTCGTTCATTCGATAGACGAAGACAGCTCGAGCACAGCGCAGCTCCACGAAACCGACCTCGTCCGTCAACACCTGGCGGGCTCGGAGATACCACAACCGAGGCGCCTCAGTCAGACCGTACGCCCCTTTCAGCAAGCGAAGCAACGCATAAGGCCGCACGGCTGGCCATCCAGCACCGTCGACGGCTGGAAGCCCGTCCTCAGGAGCCCTCACATACAGCTCCCGTTCCAACTTCAGCCCGGACAGGAACGCAGTCGCTACGTCGAAACACTCGAATGTCCAATCCATCGCCATTGTGATAGACGCACACACCAGCACAGCCAAAGGGGAAGTAGTAGGCGAATCCGTCCTGAATAGACCAAGCTGCGAGACCAAGCTGCGGATCGAGATGGCCAGGGATGATCAAGCGAGACTTCGCCTCCAGCTCCAGCCCTCGTCCCCGGTTCGTGCGAACCGAACGCATGGGCACCGAGATGATCTTGTCCTTCGGGATGCTCTTCTCCTCCTCCTCGGTGACCAACTCGACCGTGTTGTTGGCGATCCATTGCCGCCACTCGGCGGCATCGGCCTCGTCGAACTTAGCCTTCTCGTGCTGGTTGAAGTGACGTGGGTCTAGCTCCTTCGCGTTCTGCTTCATCACGAGTGCGAACACGTCGTGCTCGTACCGGGCCTCCTGCAGCCATGCGTCATACACAGATGACACGTTGATCCATTCTTCGTAAGTCATCGGCTGTCGTACAAGACCCTCCGGAGTGTCCAAATAGTACACCCCTTGTGCATGAGCGTCCGGCTTGTCGTGGTAGAAAAGCGTGAGACCAACCCAGCTGTCCTCCGTGCGCTCGTTGGTGCGGTTCGCGCCGTCGTCCTTGTAGGCACGCTGGCCCGTAGCGGAGAGCATCGCCGAGAGGCGATTGCACTCCCGGTGGCGGTCGTGATCATAGAGTCTCCGCCGTGGCTCTCGGTGTACACGTACTCCTCGAACGACCTTCTGAACGAGCGTGGAGACACCATCCAAGGCATTCTGGTCGAACCACTCCTGAGGTCCCGAGCGCACAACGGCGTTCATGGCCACCTCGCGGAGGGCCGGCAAACCACTCGTAGGAGCAGCCTGCAGACGCGTCTTCTTGATGCAAATCGGCACGTCATCTACCAGGAACTTCCGCTTTCGCTCCAGCTCGAAATCGTCTCTGGGAATCGGCGGCACCGAAAGGCCGCCAGAGCCCGATGCTCCCGGAGAAGCCTTCGGGTACATCTCAGAGGATATCCGCCCTGGAGGGGAACGAGAACGCCCCCTCTTCGGAGGGGGAAGCTGCGGCAGCTGCTGCTGCTCAGGCGGCTCCTCCTCCTTGGCCTGTGCCTCAATGGCGTCGAGGGCCCTCAGGTCCACACGAGGCTGCCTGGACCCCTCGAGCTCCCCATGTCGGTCACGCTCCTTCTTCATGAACGTCTTCTTCACCCTCTGAACCTTCACCTTGGGCGTGACGTCCACGATGTCGTGGTAAGCGCTGTCATCTCGCTGCTGTGTCAGTCGCACGTCCGTCTGGATGGACTCCGCAGCTGCGGCCTCCTGGGAGGAGGCGTGCCGGAGCTGCTCACGAGCAACAAGTAGCACGTGACCACGCCAGGATACGTAGTAACGGCTGTTGGACTCCTTCGCGATCACAGTCGCAGGACCCCGCCATCTTTCAGGATCTTGCCGACGACGTCCCTTGAACGGATTCGGTGCCCAGAAATACACCCTCGATCCTGGGCGCAGATCACCGACGACCGTCGGCGCCTGTCGTAGCAGCGCCCTCCGCACCTTGTCCGTCGCGTCGCGCTCCAGCAACATCATCTTTGCTGCGGTGCGGATTTGGGACGAACGCCAAGCTATGCCCTTGGCGCCGAGGACCGACATGAGAACCTCATCGTCGTCCCTGTTAGTCACCTCCGTAAAGTTCAAGATCCGCCCGAAGACAGCCTGCTCCGGGGTCAATCCATTGCGGCTGATCGTCGAGTTCTTCGCATTGATGATGGCAGCCAGGGCCACAGTAGACATCGACTTGCCCTGGACGTGGAACTCGTGCACCACCTTGCCCCAGATAGTGCCGAGCAATCCTCCGTGGCGCTCGGCCAGGCCATGCTGCCATGCTGCATGAGCTCCCGTCGTCTTCGTATTAATGCCGAACTGCTCCATCAACGCGTTGAAGTAGCCCTCGAACTCGCCGCCCTGATCGATCACGATGTTTTCTGGCACGCCGTAATGCTTGAACCACTCGTTCATGATCTGGCGTGCTACGTGCTTGGCCGTCCTATTCTTGAGAAGGCAGGCGCAGTGCCATCCCGTACCAGCATCCACCATGCTGAGGACCACCAGCTGCTCCTTGGCCGCGTCCCGTAGGTACTTCACGTCGATCACAACCGTCACATTGAAGCCGAATGGTCGCACATCCGCCGTCCCTTGCACCGGACGGGGCGGCGCCTCCGACTCAGCAC